TGGCACTGGAGACAAGGGGGTATCTAGGTGAGAGATGAAGCAGCCCATATATATATATATATAGAAGAGAGAGAGAGAGGCAATGGAAGCCTTATGCTGTGTGTTGGTTGAGGATTTGGGAGGGAATTTGGAAAAGAAAAGGGAAAAAGTGTATGAGAACTAGATGAAATATAGGCATGTTTATTCACATTTCACTTATCTTTTTCTTTGCCCTTTCCAAATTCCTTCCAAATCCTCCAACCAAACACAGCGTTAGGGTCTCTGAGATAACATAGAGCTCCAGAATATGGGCATTCCAAATCTGATGTAGGAGTAGTAGATCATTCTATTTTAGAGCTTGGACTCATGCAGTAGCATCTTTGGGACTCTAGCTCATCATTCAATGACGTAGATCAAATTTAGAAATACAATACCAGACTCATACTCACAATGCAGGGATAGTCCATGCCGGGGATAGTCTATACTGAAAGCAGTAGCTTCTTTCTAATGCAGCCCTAGGGTTGCAATGAGTTTTCCACAAAAAATGGAGAACTTTATGAGTAAAAATGTAGAATCATCCAATAAGCATAAAAAGCTAAAAAAAAACTGAATGGAACACCCGAAAAATGCTGAAATTATCCCAAGAAAAACTTATATGTAGGTATAGTCAAAATACAGAATGGTGAGATTACCAAACCTGTGGTATGACAAAAAAATAAAAAAAGAAAAAATGTTAAACCATATAAAGCAACACCCTAAGCATCAAGGAAACCAAGGACCATGGATGTAGGAGGATTAGAGATGATTATAATGTGGAAGCAATATGAAATATACCAAAAAGAGACCAGCATCAAGCAAAGGACCACCACTGTAAGGTCAAATGCAACCTCCCATGATGCTAAGAATGCCAAAAGTGTCTGAGGAGAGCTCATAAGCCCAACAGCCATGAGTGGAGCAAAGCGGTCTAGAAGGAGGAGAAGAACAAGAGACAGAAGCAGTAGAAGAGGAAGGGGAAGTGAAGAGGGAGAGAACAAAAAAAAGAGAGAGAAGGCATCCATTACAGGGTCTTCCAATATCCAACAATTGTGTCACCTATCTCGTGAGATGAACTGAAGAATGTGTAAATGCAAAGATCAAACAGAAATTGAAAAAGAACCTAATGTCACTAATATAAACCATTCAAACATGTGGATATGGAAAGCTTCTGAAACTGAAAACATGAAGAGAGAGAACGCCAATAGTATTCTTAAGAGAGATAATAAGCTTCCATGACGCTAAGAATGCCAAATAGTATCTGAAGAGAGCTCATAACCTCCCAACAGCACATGAGTGGAGCAAAGTCTCTAGAAGGAGAAGAACAAGAGACAGAAGAAGTAGAGAGGAAGGTAAGGGAAAAGAGTAAGAGAGAAAGAAAAGAGAGAAGAAAGCATCCATTACAGTGTTCTTCCAATATCCAACAATTGGTTTTCACCAAGGCTGTAGAGAACTGAAGAATGTGTGTAAATGCAAAGATCAAACAGAAATGAAAAAGAACCTAACATCACTATATACCATCAAAATTCATGTGGTGATGAAACCTGAAACGAAAACATGAAAGAGAGATATATAAGATCTTGAAATAATATATTTGAAAAAATGAACCACAAAGCAGGAAAAGGAAAAAAAGACTACACAGGAAGTACAGGGAAAAGCCTACTGACAGATTAGATCTCCAATGAAAGTCAGAAAAACGCAGATGTCACAGCCTTCGTCAACACGAGTCTCCAAGAAGAGTCAAAAACTAAAATAAAAAATAAAAAACAAGTAGGAACAAAGTAGGACACGTTTCAACCCCATTAAAGTTGCGAGAGGACAAGTAACAACAATCTGAACTAAAGCCATAAATCCTCTTGCATTATAATTATTCTTTCGCAACAAAAAATAGAATCATTGGAAAAAGAGAAATAAAATGGCAGAGAGTACCTAGGGGGTAGGGGGGGGGGAAAAGGGATTAAGAGAGTGATTAGAAAAGGTAAAACTATGTCAATGGTAATGGTCCAACAGACGTGGAAGGCTGGAGAAATGAGCAGCTAGGTGAGGTGTGAAACAAGTGGGTCAAGAAGCAAAGAATGGCAGTGCACAAATGGGAGCATCTCCTTAATCTTAAAAAACCTCCCTGACTGGGAAATAGGTCTATTTATAGGTCATTGGCACCAAAGGATACAAGTGGCTAAATAAAGTAGGAATGTCCCTAAGAATCACAGAAATGCCTGGACTACCAGGCTAAGGTTGCCACGTGTCCCTCGCATGTACTATTACTACTGTTGGCACGGATGCCTCAAACCAAGACACTTGGTGGCAGAGTGCTTGCGCGTTGCAACTTGCCGTGCTTAATCTCAGCAAGTGCACTTGCAGTGGTACGGTTGCCGTTGGCACTTGCCTTCTGAGTTTAGCTTAGCCAAGATAAGCATCTCGAGACTTCAACCAGCTACAACCATGTTTTGTATCCACCTCAACGAAGCTCCATCCTTAGCCACCTAACCACAAAATCCCCAGTCCCAAGGCGAAGACCACAACCAAGCCTATCAACCAGTGTGTGTCCAATACCAAGCCTAAGGGGCTTCATGGTCCGCATGTGCAACAAAGGCATGTTCATGGCTGGGTAATGGAAAGGGAGTCCCCTACGCGTCAGGCTGCCCTACCCACTTGCGGGTTGTCGCGTTACACGTGTATCTCTGGCCTGCATCAGCTCCAACCAGTAAGCTTTAGGGCCGCATCAACACCTAAACGAGGAGCGTTCAACTCTGCTAGCATCGACGAGCTTAATGATGACTAGGTCCGACAGCGCCAAGCAAGCTCCACTGTGGAGGAGAAGCCTCCAAAGGCTGCTTATCACCTTGGTGGGAGTGTTCCCGCTGCAAGGAGGTGCGGCAGGGTAGGTCTGTAATAGCGGTGTATATTTTGTGTAAGTCAATGCGGCCCAACAAACTGTAGAAAAGCAGGGCGGATAAAGTACCTCCGCAACTGTGACGTGCAAAGTGGCCCGTAACTGACTTATACAATTCTCATGAGGTTGCGCGTCTTGGGGTGGCGACCTACTTCGACCAGGTGACCCACTTCCCTTGGCGTTGGCCCAGGGTCCTTTAACATCAGGGGCGGAAGAGGTGGCAACCTGCCGACGTAGGTCAGTGCTGGGATGGGTGGACTGAAGGGTCGACCCTTACACCATGTCAAATCAAAAAACAAATAATCCAAGGAAAAAAAAATAGTAAATAAGCTAGTGGAGGGACTTTAATAACTGGATCCACCCCACTGGACGTACTAACCGGGGACTAAACCCACCCATCCACTAACAGTGGAGGGACTAAAGGCAGAGCAAGCGCCAAAGCATGCAAGATAGTCAGGTACCAGCCAAAGTCAAGGAACAAGAAATGTAGAAAATTTCTCTTGCTCTAACTTTTGCCTGGGTCGCCCTTCCGGGTTTTCGGCCCAGCGAGCCTCTCAAAAGGGTAAAAGTGTAACAAGTCCATGCCAAATATTTTTGGAAAAGTGCATTTAAGTTAAAATAATTTAATCACTGTTTTTTTTAATTTTTTAATTTTTTACTTTTTTATTTTTAGTGAATGTTTTTAATAATTTATGTAATTTTTTTTTTATTTTTTAGATATACCTACTTTAGATACATTTAAAAAATATAATATTTGTGAATTTTTTTTTAAAAATTTATCAAATACAAAAAAATATATATATATATTTTCGTATTTTGTTGTATTCAGAGAATTTTTTTAAAGATTTTTGTATAAATTTTATAATGTTTAAATGTATCAAGATTGAGTGAATCTAAAAAGTAAAAGAAATTTATTAAAATATTTTTAAAAAATAAATAAAAATATAAAAATATGAATTCAAAATTCAAAAAACTGTTTTTGAAAGTTGACATAAAGTTTGATTATTTAAAATTATTTTCATTTAAAATTATTATTTTTCTAATTTGTAGAAAATATCATTTATATACGGATAAAATAAGTTATAAATTAATGGAGTACAAGTGAGTTATGTGCTTGAACCAGGGCATTTGGCATTGTGCAGGATTACTTTAAAGAGTGGTTATGTTTGCAACTTTCAATTTTAGCTAAAAAGATAAAAAATTTATTATAAATTATCACATTATTCTCTTTATCTTTTTGTATATCTTTTCATAAAAAATTAAAAAATTATTAAAATAATCTGTTCCCAAATAAGTTTGAGAATTCAATTGTTATAAATTACTTTATAAAGTGAGTTTGCGGATTCAATTCTTATAAATAGAAGCTTGATGCTTGTGCTGTTTATTGTAGTTTTTTTTTTTATTTTTTATTTTTTTTATATCTTCTAAAGTTTGGGCTTGGTGATAGTGTTGGCTTTGTAACTATTTTTTGACTAGCAATAATGACTTGGATCTTTTTTTTTTTTCACCACTTGACTCCCTCTTCACCGGATTGGTTACTTTTTCTTTCTTTTTTCCTTCTCCTCCAATCACCACCCGCCACGTGTCTGTGGGGGGGGGTGGTGGGAGTGGTGATTGGAGGGGGTCTCAATCATCACCCTAAAATAATAAGATTAATTTAATACTATTTAGTTACATAAAATATAATACTTATAACCAAAATCTTGCATTAAAAATCATAGAATGAATGAAGCAAGAAAAACAGAATTCTATTCACAAAACAACGTGAGATGAAAGATGTTAACAATGAGGGCTATTACATGTATTTACATTAAGAAATACTTGTAGCCTTTTGGTAAGAAATGATTGAAAAAAGAAAAAGAAAAAAAGCCTCTTTTCTTACGTTTCGTTTATAAGTTAAATAAAAAGTAGAAAGAAAAAAAACAAATGGAGGAAAAGAAACACTTATTTTATCAGTATTGTTTCTCACAAAAAAATGACAAGATTTGATAAGAAATTAGCTGATTGGTTGTGTAACTTTTATAATACCAAGATCGCCCATCACCCACATTCCCACATCACATATTTTGTTTTCTTAATCATCCAAACATGATAGTGAGAAAACAATCCAAACATGATAGTGAGAAAACATCATAATTTCTTCTTGTTTCTCACCTAAATACGTTACCACAATCATCTGTTTTCTTTTTTAACCTCCACAATCCAAACAGAGTGCTAAAACTTTGTTTAATTGGAAAAGAGACATCTCGGCTTGAAACACTAGTAATTATCTAATAAATCCACAGCATTAAAAGATTGCAAGAACACTCTATACTTGAATGATCCAATGACTTTGTTCCCCCTCTTTCTTGATCCTAAACCTCTCCAAAATCTCATAATTTCCATGCCAAGTTAATACCTACAATAAAAATTAAAAACCCAATCATTAGCACACACAATCAAACATATTCAGAAGTAATCGACATCAACGGAATGCATATTAGCCTACATAAATCATCATAATTATTAGTTATGCAATTTAGGCATTCATCATAAACTATTGATTTCCCTTCTCCAATTTCTCTTTTGCTCATCATTTGCTTCTTTTTTCATAAAAAATATAAGGCTCAAAACAAAAAAGGTTCTGTCTTGGCTGTTGCAAAATTTAAGTTCAGCTCCAATTTTAACCCAAAGAACAATCATAATAATAACAACAATAAAATAAGGTTTTATAGCTTCATGAGAGCTTTTGTGAATTTGCCATTTGGGTATTTTTCCCTTACTCTACTATATCATCTCTTTTCAATCCATGGTTGTCTAATTTGCATATCCATACACCATTCAACTTAAACATGGCATCCAAATGGCATTCAACTTAAACATGTATAATCTAATTGTCCAATTCCAAATAGTTGGTATAAAATTTTCAGTTCCTTCTTCTAAAAACATACCTATTTTGGGAGCACCTCTTTGTGAGCTTTGTACGAGAGAATTACATTCCATACCAAAGCAATAACATTAGCAGCAAGGACCTGAAATGGTAAACCACGAATGAAGAGTTGGAAATTTTATACTGTAAGGTAAAAACATTAGAGGATAACGAAACAAATCATGTGTCTTAATCAATTGGCGTTGGCTACATAAATTTGTAGAACAAAATTCTTATAATTACAAAATATATGCCATCCAAACCTGAAATTGCTGTGGTACAAATCGGAAGTTGAGAAATTGAAAAGGTATCCACAATTGCCAATTTGCAAGGACAGCAGAGAACCACTCCTACAAAATGGGAGATCATCATTAACATGAAAAATTTTAACTTGGAAAGAAGACAAATTACTTCTAATAACATGTTTTCAAGAGTTAAATGTCAATTCACTCCGTTTGGATAGCAGGATAAGAGAAGAAAAAAAATGACTATGATTTCTCACTATCATGTTCAGATGAGTAAGAAAGCAAAGTATATGATATAGGGATATGGGTGGAATTTTTTTTTCTTTATATTTTAATGGGCAATCTCGGTATCATAAAAAATATACAACCAATCAGTTTGTTTTTCATCAAATCTCACTCACTTTTGGTGAGAAATGAAACCTATAAAATCATAAAGTTCTTTTTTATTTTTATTTTTATTGGCACCGGGGTGTCCGGATCAAAATCATAAAGTTCTCTCTCTTTATTTCTTATCATTTCTCACCAAATCACTAATCCAAATGGACTGTTAAAGATAAAAGGCAGAATAAGCATTTAGAATTACTTGTTGAAGCTTTGGCACCACTTGCGACGGCCTCCCCTCAAGAGTTACCAGCGTAGATAGGAAAAGTCCAATGAATAGAGGAGAAAAAAGAAACTGCATTAAATTCAGGTCAAAATAACTTTATTACTGAAAGTATTATGTGAATGCCAAGTAGATTAATCAACGTTTAGTTGCATAGCAGGAAAGATTAAAAGCAGATAAGAAGTCACCTGGTCAAGTAGAAGCCGCAAGAAAGCACCTGATGCACCAGGCAATGTGACCAGTTTACTCAAAGACAAATACCTAAAAGCAAGTCAGGTTAGGTTAACTACGGTACAAAAGACAATCCACGGATCCAAATATTATACAAACAAATGAGAATGCAAAGGGGCTGGTGAGTGGGGTGATGGTGACTGGTGAGTAACATTTTTCTATGTGACATTACTAGGTTTTCAATCAGTAGAGTTGGAGATCATGTTCATTGATCCAGAACACCCAATAATTGGACCATGTTAAGGTTGTCAGGTATGGAGGTCATGCCCATTGATCCATAATACCCAATAATTGGCCCATGTGAAGGTTTGACAACTCATAACCCAAAAAAAGAAGTAAAAATATTTACATCGAGCTAAACAAAGTAAGAAATTTTAAGGAAAAAAACGCGGAGCTGAAGAAAAAATATATTGGAATTGATGCAGTGCGAAATGCGAAATAATAACAATTCCAAAATCCGTTGATTCGAATAAGAATACCGAAAGTAAGATTATTCTCTAGACTCGTTGATTCACAAAGAATACCGAGAATAAAGGCTCAACAATGGTTGATTCTCACATAATACCCAAAGTTGGAACATAAGAGTATATCAACTCACAATATTATTAGTCATCAAAAGCTTCCTTCGCCCTATGGCTTACATCTTTACCTATAACAAACCTAATTCTTGTTGAACAAGAAACTAATAAAATAAGAAATAAAATCAAAACTAATAAAGTAGGAAAATTGTATCATATCAAATCAAGAAACCAAATAACTAAATAATTCTATGATATTCTATACTAAATTAAAAAATTCCTAATCAACTATAAATTTCAAAACAATAAAATAAAAATATTTATTTTTTAAATTCAGTCCACATCAGGAATGGTTAAAACACCCTTCTGGAGAATCACAGATTGAAAACAGCTTCTTCCAACTTTAGAGGGAAACATAGGATAAAGTAATAAGGAATCTGTAGCCATTACCAGAAATGCAATGTGGGACCCACCAAAACCAGCCCCAACAGAGTGAATAAAAACGTCCTCTTCAGGTCTAGTGATGGCACTTGATCAATCATAACCTGAGTCACATTTTTAAAGTAAGATTGTGCTCAAAGTTGTTAACTCATCAAACTACAGTAGGTAAAAGTAAACTGCGAAGCACAGCAAACACAATCCAATTCAAATCCATTATCCAAAACAGTTTCCTCCTTACTACTGGCAAAGACTTGTCTGCAAATTGAAAGCAAGCTAAGTAATCAGATTTTAAAGATTCTATTTGTCCATGTGATGAAACAATAACATCAATATGACATAGCACATGTTGTACTTATACCTTAACAGTCGGAGTATGGTAGCATCATCTTGCAAGTACATATGTAATCTTTTTTTTTGTTTTGTTTTTGCTTATATGTTCCAATTAGGCCGTATAAATAATAAAACTATAAGTGGCATGGATTCTAACCAAATATGGTCCAATCAATGTAATAAATGAAAAATGTAAAAATACTATAATTTATTTGAAACCAAATACGGCCATACCAGCCAACAATTCATTGAGGTAAACAATAGAATAATAATCGGAAACAAATACAACGAGTGACTTGACTAATCCAGTTGTGTGTACTCAGAAAGGTTGTGAAAACCCAAAACTCATATTTCCTTGAAGGAAAAAGCTATAGAAAATACAGCCCGCCTACCAGATAGTGACAAGACACTTCAATGGCACTGGAGACAAGGGGGGTATCTAGGTGAGAGATGAAGCAGCCCATATATATATATATATAGAGAGAGAGAGAGAGAGGCAATGGAAAGCCTTATGCTGTGTTTGGTTGGAGGATTTGGGAGGGAATTTGGAAAAGAAAAGGGAAAAAGTGTATGAAACTAGATGAAATATAGGCATGTTTTATTCACATTTCACTTATCTTTTTCTTTGCCCTGTCCAAATCCCTTCCCAAATCCTCCAACCAAATACAGCGTTAGGGTCTCTGAGATAACATGGAGCTTCAGAATATGGGGCATTCCAAATCTGATGTAGGAGTAGTAGATCATTCTATTTATAGAGGCTTGGACTCATGCAGTAGCATCTATTTTGGACTTCTAGCTCATCATTTCAATGACGTAGATCAAATTTAGAAATACAGATACCAGACTCAATTACTCACAATGTCAGGGATAGTCCATGCCGGGGATAGTCTATACTGAAAGCAGTAGCTTCTTTTCTAATGCAGCCCTAGGGTTGCAATGATGCTTTTTCTACAAAAATTATGGAGAACTTTATGCTAGTAAAACATAGATCATTGCTCAATTAAGCATAAAAAGCTAAAAAAAAACTGAATGGAACACGCTAAAATATGCTGAAATTATTCCCAAGAAAAACTTATATGTAGGTATTTAGTCAAAATACAGAATGGTTGAGATTTACCCAAACCTGTTGTGTATGACAAAAAATAGATTTAAAAAGAAAAAATGTTTTAAACCATATAAAGCAAACACCCTAAGCATCAAGGAAACCAAGGACCATGGATGTAGGAGGATTAGAGATGATTATAATGTGGAAGCAATATGAAATATACCAAAAGAGGACCAGCATCAAGCAAAGGACCACCACTGTAGGTCAAATGCAACCTCCCATGATGCTAAGAATGCCAAATAGTGTTCTGAGGAGAGCTCATAAGCTTCCCAACAGCCATGAGTGGAGCAAAGGCGTCTAGAAGGAGGAGAAGAACAAGAGACAGAAGCAGTAGAAGAGGAAGGGGAATGGTGAAAGAGGTAGAGAACAAGAAAAAAGAGAGAAGAAGGCATCCATTACAGGGTTCTTCCAATATCCAACAATTGGTTTGTCACCTATCTCTGTAGATGAACTGAAGAATGTGTAAATGCAAAGATCAAACAGAAATTGAAAAAGAACCTAATGTCACTATATATCCATCAAAATTCATGTGATATGTAAAGCTCTTGAAACTGAAAACATGAAGAGAGAGAACGCCAAATAGTATTCTGAAGAGAGATAATAAGCTTCCATGACGCTAAGAATGCCAAATAGTATTCTGAAGAGAGCTCATAACCTTCCCAACAGCCATGAGTGGAGCAAAGTCGTCTAGAAGGAGAAGAACAAGAGACAGAAGAAGTAGAAGAGGAAGGGTAATGGTAAAAGAGGTAGAGAATAAGAAAAGAGAGAGAAAGCATCCATTACAGTGTTCTTCCAATATCCAACAATTGGTTTCTCACCAATGTCTGTAGATGAACTGAAGAATGTGTAAATGCAAAGATCAAACAGAAATTGAAAAAGAACCTAACATCACTATATATCCATCAAAATTCATGTGATGTGTAAACCTCTTGAAACTGAAAACATGAAGAGAGATATATAAGATTCTTGAAATAATATATTTGAAAAATGAACCATCAAGGCAGGGAAAAGGAAAGAAAAGACTTATACAGTTTAAGTTACAGGGAAAAGCGTACCTGACAGATTAGATCTCCAATGAAAGTCAGAAATGCAGATGTCACAGCCTTCGTCAACACAGGGTGCTTCTCAAGAAGAGTCAAATACCTAAAATAAAAAAATAAAAATTCAAGTTAGGAACAAAGTAGGACACGTTTTTCAACCCCATAAAGTTGCGAGAGGTACAAGTAACAACAATCTGAACTAAAGCCATAATTCCTTCTTGCATCATATTTATTATTTCTTTCGCAACAAAAAATAGAATTCATTGGAAAAAAGAGAAATAAAATGGCAGAGATTACCATTTGTAGGGGGGGGTTTGAGGTGAAAAGTGATTAAGCGAGTGATTAGAAAGGCAAAACTATGTCAATGGTCCAACAGACTTGGGAAGGCTGGAGAAATGAGCAGCTAGGTGAGGGTGGAACAAGTGGTTCAAGAAGAAAAGAATGGCATTGCACAAATGGGTAGCATCTCCTAAATCTTAAAAAATCCTCCTCTTGGACATTAGGAAATAGGTCTTATTTATAGGTTTTTCATGGGCACCAAAGGATAGCAAGTGGCTAAATAAAGTGAGGACATGTGTCCCTAAGAATCACATGGAATATTTTGCCTTGGACTACCAGGCTAAAGGTGCCACGTGTCCCTCTGCATGTACTATTTACTATCTGTTTGGCACGGATGCCTCAACAAGCACACTTGCGGCAGGAGTGCTTGCCGTTGCAACTTGCCTTTTTAGCTTGAACCTCAGTAAGTGCACTTGCAGTGGTAACGTTTGCCGTTGCACTTGCCTTCTTAGTTTAGCTTAGCCAAGATAAGCATTCTTAGTACTTCATAACCAGCTATCAGCCATGTTTTGTATCCACCTCAACGAAGCCTCCATCCTTAGCCACCTAACCACAAAATCCCCAGTTTCTCAAGGCGAAGGCCACAGCCAAGCTTGTTATCAACCATGTTGTGCCTTAGTACCAAGCCCAAGGGGGCTTCATTGGTCCTGCATGTGCAACAAAGGCGTGTTCATGACTTGGGTAATGGAAAGGGAGTCCCCTTACGCTCAGGCTGCCCTACTCCCATCTTTGCGGGGTCGTCGCGTTACACTGGTATCTCTGGGCCTGCTATCAGCTCCAACCAGTAAGCTTTGGGGCCTGCTATCAGCACCAAACTAGTGAGCTTCAGCTCCTGCTATCATCGCCGAGCTAATGATGACTTTAGGGGCCTGCTATTAGCCCTAGGCTAGTAATGCCTTGGAGCCTGCTATCAGCGCCAAGCATTAGCCTCTACTTGTGGAGGAGAAGCTTCTCCCAAAGGCTGCTATCACCTTGGTGGGAGTGTTCCCGCTGCAAGTTAGTTGCGGCAGTTGTAGTTTGCTATAGCGGTTATTTCCTGTGGTAAGTTCAAATGGCGGCGCCAACAATACTAGAAATAGCAGTGCGGATAAAGTACCTCCGCAACTTGACTGTTGCAAATGTTGCTTCCGTAACTTGACTTATACAATTTTCTTCATGGAGCTTGTTCGGACTCTTGGTGGGTCGGACCTACTTCGACCCATTGTTGACCCACTTCCCTTGGGCTTTGGCCCAGGCTCCTTTAATCATTCATGGTCGCCTAAGAGTGGCAACCTCCGACTTAGGTCCATTCTTAATTTTGACCTTAATTTCTGACCCTTTACACCATCAAATCAAAAAACAAATAATCCAAGGAAAAAATAAATAGTAAATAAAGCAGTGGAGGTATTCTTTTTTTTAATAACTCGATATCCAGCCCATTGGAGCGACTAATCCGGGGGACTAAACCCACCATCCACTAATAATGGAGGTATTCTAAAGCATAGCACCTCCAAAAGGATGCATAGATTATCATTACCATCAAATCAATGAACAAAAAATGGAGAAAGAAAATAAAATAAAAATGGGCGCATTCTAAAACAAAGAACTTCCAAAGAATGCTAGTAAAAAATAATCAGAGGGCATATGTTCATGTAATCGGCCTGATTCATAATAAGAGAAAATATAAATGAAAAGCAACAAACAGAGAATTCATAGATTTTCCTTAGAATGACATGCCAGAAATTTATTAGCAATATCAGATATCAATTAGTTTAAATTAAGCAATAGAAACCAAATGAAGGATTGAAACTTGCAATGCAACAGTTTAAACCGACTATGAACCACAAAAGAGAGAAAAGCCAAGATGTGAGAAAAGCCATTCCTCCAACAGGCACATCCCAAATCCGATCCAAGAAACATTTTTAATCTTTCAATCACCATCATAAGTCACTAGTCTTCTTCCACCACCCAATCACAACTTCATTGAAAATCAATGAGTTAATCAAACTTGACAATGCCCACAATCTACATTTCTAGAGGATGTGCCAATCCCTTGGCTTCATCCTCCTTTTGTCAATTTTTACAGATCAAGGGTCTAGGGTTACATTGCTTACTTGCAACGCAAACTCTCTTTGTATCAAATGCGAGGTGGGACAAAATGATGATAGCATGTCAGAGGCATCCCTGGGTAGCTTATTTATGATGATGATGGCTTTCCACGGTTGATAGCAGACTTTAAAAAGACAGGATTTTGGTTGTTTGATTAAAATCCACAAAGACAGTAATGCGTGCGTCGCCATTGTGTGGGAGTGTTGGCAGGATTCATGTGGCCATGTGTTTCTTATTTTGCTTCTTAAAGTTGTTCCAACAAGCAACCATGTATTGTATCATTTGATAATTGGTACAAAATGCAAATAACAAGCATAGAACAAGTCTATGCAATTTATGAGTCTCTGTACCTGTTATACAGACCAAATAAGCATAGTTCAAGTGGTTTTTTTCTCTTTTTCATCACCTCAGAGATTCGACTGTCATTTGTTTCATGAGTGATAGAACATGATTATATAATGTAAACACATAGTTTTTCACACGATGTGGAATTCACACCTGCATGTCTCAAAATGAAGACTTGCCGTGACAACACAAGGACTTGCAGTTTAGTTGCTAAATCAGTGCAAGTTCTTAAATTATGATGGAAAACGATCAAACATTCAAGCTGTTTTCAACCAGATTATCATGATTTTAGCAAAAGCAAAGTAGGTCCTCCATAGTATCAGAATGCAGAATGCCAAATCAACATGTTTCAAGGTTAAAAGGAAGCATAAGTAGCATGTGGTATGTTTCAAGGTAAAAAGGAAGCATATGTAGCATGTGGTAACTGAAAAATGCCATTGGATATAGTTGCGATCCTGACTAGTTGGGATAAGACTTTATTTTGCTTTTGAGAGAAAAATCACTTCAAAGTTTGCTCTCGATAGAAAGACAAGCATTCAAAAATGCCAACCAACCTGAATCATACTGGTTTTATTAACTTCCTTAAGAAATTCATTTTAAATATTTGGTCTCCAATCCATTTTTGACAACGTCAGCTAATGTTCCCTTCACTGTGGAGAACATTTTTTGCATTTTCTGACATTTAGTACATGGAAAACAAACTTATTTTGGCAAAAAATATTTTTTCGGAGCAAAATCTTATCAGTGCCACCACATTACCAACACCACCATCCTACCATCGCCGCCACCACTGCCACCGCCCCAGCCCCACCACCACTAATAACAACTAGCAGGTTAGTAGGTGGCAACCAAACATTAAAAAAAAAGAAAAATCTTCACAAAACCAAAAAAAAAAAAATGTTTTGGATAAGAAAATGCTTTGGCGGAGCAAAAGAGTAGATTTCTTTTCCTCATGTTAATTTTTTGGTGCCGTCATTTGCATCTTTACCTTCGTTGCTCATAATGCTGCCATGAATAGAAACATAAATTAATTTGACAAATCAAATAAATACAAATATAAACAATCTTTACCATGAAAGCAAGGACCAGTCACTCCGACCACCGCCGCTGCTACCACCATCACCTGAATTCCCGCCACCAGAACTCCCATACCCTCCCCTCCCACCAGACCCACCAGACCCACCATCCGAAACAGCTGAAACTCGAAAATGATCAATGCCCAATAGTCTATACCCAGTTTTTTCAAAACCCAAATCTTTAAACACACTCGGACGAGTATAATTCAAAGACAATGGTCGAGAATTGCACGAAGAACAGCTCTTGAAACCACCAATTTGAAATGGGTTCAGGGGGATTTTGGCCTGGTTAGCGAAACGAGAAATGGGTTTGAAAGGGAAGCCCGCGAATTTGAACAAGAGTGGAGTTCTACGCGAAATTGTTGCAGGATTTAGCACCATAGTTGATGTGGTTCAAGGGTTTATGGGGTTATGAAAGGGTAAGCCAAGGATTGGGAGGGGTGGAGTTCAGCTATACTACCCTTGAAAAGTGACATATTTTATTACACCTCGACTATCATATTATTTTGTTTCTTTAATTTTAAAATGAATAAATTACACTCACATTATTTGAAGTTTTCAAAAGCTATAATTAGAGCCTTTTCCCATATTAAGCCTAATTTGTAACTTAATTTTTAAATTAGGTCTAGTTTAGACGGAATTTTCAAATTAGGCTAAAGCATTATTACAAAGCGCGCTTTCACTGTTTGGACACCAAGATGTGATGAATAGTGAAAGTGATATTTCAAATCATCCTTTTAATTAAGAAAGCGTGGTTGCAAATCACATTTTTGGTATGGAATTTTTTTCTGAATCACTGTGCATATAAATTTTTTTTTTTGGTGAAGAAAACGCTATTTCGAATCGCGTTTTCACTGTTGATTAATGAAATCGTGGATTGAAACCACGCTTTTAAACCCCACATAAAATACCAAGCTTCCTCATTTGCAATCACGTTTTTTACACTTTGGAGCCTTTCGACTCTGCTCTCAGACTCCCTCTGCTCTCAGTGAAGCCAAGCTCTCGCTCTCGATCTTCCACTCTTTCGCTCTCGATCTCGCTCTGCTCAACTCTCACTATCGCTCTCGCTCTCACTCTCTGTCTCTGCTTTCTCTCTCTCTCTCTCTCTCTCTCTCTCTCTCTCCGTGGTATGCCATCTAGCTCTGTCTGTATAATTTGAATTTTATGTATTGATTTATTGTGTTTGTGAAAATGTGAATGTGTAGTTGAAAATGTGAATGTGTGTTTGTGAAAATGTGAATGTTAGGGTTTTATCAGTGTGGTTATGAAATTATGAAATCATAAAATGTTAGGGTTTTGAATTGTCAAATCAGAAATTATGCTTGTGGTTTCAGAAATTAGGGTTTGGAATTGTTTGAAATTAGAAATTAGGGTTTGGAATTGTTTGAAATAAAAAATTAGGGTTTGGAATTTTTTGAAATCATAAATCAGGGTTTGGAATTAGGGTTTGGAAGTTTGCTCCTGAATCAGAAATCAGAAATTATGTTTGTGAATAAACTAACCTATATTTGTTGAATTGAAATTATGAAATGTCTATATTTTGAAAATTAAAATCAGAAATTGAAATTTTGAAATTATGCTTGTGAATCAAAATGTCTATATTTTTTGAAATTAGGGTTTGGAATTTTGAATTGTGAATAAATCAACCTATATTTGTTGAATTGAAAATTTTATTTTTTGCTTGTTAAGAGGAATTAAAGGGAAATTAGGGTTTGAAATTAGTTTATTCAAAGGAAATTAGGGTTTAAAAGGAAATTAGGGTTTGAAATTAATTTTTTTTTAAATTAGTTTACAGTCTTAAAAGTAATTTTTATTAATTAAGAATAAAATTAAAAAAATTAGGGTTTGAAATTAGTTTATTCAAAGGAAATTAGGGTTTAAAAGGAAATTAGGGTTTGGAATTAGTTTTTTTTAAAATTAGTTTACAGTCTTAAAAGTAATTTTTTTTAATTAAGAATAAATTTAAAAAAATTGAAATTCATATAATTGAGAATTGAGAATTGAAACTCATACTATGAAATTCATGAATTGAGAATTAAGGCGGACTGACAATTCCAATTCGAGGTCTACATGCTTACATATATATGATCATTTTTGTTTCAGAAAATAAGACTATAAACTGTATGATTGAATTCAAAGGGGGTTAAAGTCAATTTCATCTTTCAAAAAAATGACAAATATAATATGAATTTCAATTAAAAATACTAAGTTTATGGAAAGATTAACGTTTTTTTCATAAGTTAAATTTCATGAAACTAATTTCTACTAAATGAAATTATTAAAAAATTTTGACTCTATTTTATTCAAAAAAAAATATTTTTATTGACTTCAAAATAATAAATGAAAAGATCATGTTCTCTCAAATATTTAATTTTGACTCCATTTTATTCAAAAAAAATTTCACCCACTCGCTACCACCTACCACCCGCCACCGTCACCCATCCACCCATCATCACCACCCACCACCTACCCACCACCACCCGTCATCCGCCACCCACCTGTCACCACTACCCACCACCCGCCGCCACCACCCACTCGCTACTACCCACCACCCGCCACCGTCATCCACCCACCCACACACCACCACCCACCCGCTACCCACCACCCATCGTCACCACTTTCCACCACCGTCTTCTGCCGTCACTTGCCACCACTTGCCATTTCTCACTCTTTTTTATATTTTAAATTTTTTTAAACATTTTGTCAATTACCAAACGCTTTTGTAGTTTATGTTTTTCTAAAAATAAACAAAAACCAGTTTATAAAATTTTTGTAAATATAAACTGAAAACGTAAACGTTACCAAACAGACCCTTAACATTTTTTCATAAGTTAAATTTCATGAAACTAATTTCTACTAAATGAAATTATTAAAAAAGATATATTTAATTTTGACTCTATTTTATTCAAAAAAAAATATTTTTATTGACTTCAAAATAATAAATGAAAAGATCATGTTCTCTCAAAATATTTAATTTTGACTCTATTTTATTCAAATAAAAACATTTTGGTTTAGTTTCGTTCGGTTTATTTCACTGTATTTGGGGTCAGGCACCCATAATATGATTTAAAATTCTTAAGATTTATTTTCATTTGGGTTTCGCTAAAGGTTTCCACTTAGTTGTTAACTACCTAAATCCATACTTTAGGACATAGCTTATTGCAGGTGTCTGCATATAAGCACATAAGCACTTGTAAATTGTATGTAAGACCGGATTGCACTCTATCCCTCCAAGCTAACCAACCAAAAAAATTTAATTTTGGGAGGTGCCACATTCTTCCACAACCATTTCGAAAATCAAACCAAACAATTTATTTTTGTCAAATTTATTTCTATTTTTTCAAAAAAATCAAAAAATAATTTAAAAAATCAAACCAAACCGCTATATCATGTATTATTTTTAATATACATTCAATAAAATTAATAATTTTTATAAAAAATATTAACTTTGATATTAGAATAATTTGAAGACATTTCATCATAAAATACTAACATTTAATTTTATAATCTTGTCATAGAAATTTTCAAAAATTTAATGAGCTGAATTTGTAATACATATAATAGCATTATAGTAGAAATTAAAATTTCCTCACAAAAATTAAGAAATTTTGAAATAGTTTTTGAAATGGGTATTGAACGAAGTGACTTATCGCCACTTTCGTTTTGTGACTGTCCACCACCATTGAAAAGGAAAATCTGAACATTATGTTTTAATAATTTTTATTTTGATTTATATAATTAGAAGTCATTATTACACTAGTTATAATATATGCATGAAAAGAGTCTTAAAATATTCTAATTAATAGTCCATAGCAATTTCGTAGGTAAGAAGGACACAAAAAAAAATTGGCACTTTGATGGGTAAGCCTGTGTTTCATAAGACCAAATAATTGGTACGGATGGCCCGATAGAGTCTCATGGATAACTATCCAAAATTTACTATATAGATTTAACCACCAACTTAAATTTTCTCTCTAATTTTTGGCCATTATAAATTATCTCTGTAATTATTTTTTTGTTTTTGTATGTTTAAGAAAAAAAAAAAGAGTAAATAAATTAAATTTTTTTCTTACTTTTTAGAGCGAGCCAAAATGAGTTTTTTGTTTTAATTTCATAACAAAGCCTTTATGACTTCTAAAAAGTGGACGAGGGTTACTAGTTCACATAGGAAATAACTGTCATTAAGGTCCCTAATGGCACAAGTTTGAGCAAGTCAAATTAACTTATCTGTAATTGTCCATAAATCTGAAGAATTGGATCACCAGTTTTAAAAAATTAATAACAATGTTTGAAACCTCTATTTTATATTGTCCAAATCAATCAAGTTCTTTCAACTCAATGGAACAAATATTTAATTATCTACAAAACTTACACTATGATTTAAGATGTTTGTATGATTTGTCCAATTTTGTCCAGTCTCACTGAATAAGAAAAATACTTGATAGAACGAAGTGTTTTTTAAATGTGTGATATATCTGTCTACCTTATCAAAATACTAAAAAATAGATCAAGATTTATGAAAAGAAAACAAAATAAGTGTTTTTAAAATTGGTCCCGCTTATATGCGTATGATTAAATCATTGTCTAAATTAACGGTTGTGTAGAGTCATTATTATTATTTATTTATTTATTTACTTTCAGTGAATGCCTTTTGAAAATTGATCATATTGAGAGAGGGAGGCCCTTGCCGCAATGGTAAGGTTGTTTTATTATGCTGATAATAATATAAAATAAAATAAATCTATTATAATTCGAGTGCTATGGATTCAAATCATAAAAATAATGGCCTTGTTTGGTTTGTTTTTCATATAAAATTTTGGAAAAATTTCTCTACAAACAAATTTTCAAGAGTAATCAAACCAAACAAATTTTTCCAAATAAAATCTCAAAATTTTGTTTGGTTACCTACTTTTCAAAATAACTTTCTCTGTCATACACATCAAATCAATCACTTTTTGTAAAACTCTCTCCCCAAAATAAATTTCCACAACCATTTCTGAAAGAAGACAAACCAAATAAGACCGCATACTTTTTATCTCAAAAAAACTCTAGAAACACAAACCAAACACACCTCTTTGAGTACTTAATAATACGCATGCATATATCTGATCTTCCTCTAAACTCTGACCCTTATTGGACACCGCCCCGGTACATGCGTGATGTTGTTACCCCACCCACCCAGTTACCACTTGCTTTTCTGGGGACTACTTCGACCGCGCCCATGAGTACACATGATGCAGTTCTCACTGACATCTCCTACGTTAACGATAAGGCCCATATTGAGCACCCCCCAGAGCGCGAGGGAGAGGCCGAGGTTATGGTCGTGGGGGACGTCGCGGCCGAGGTCGGGGTGCGGGCAGAGGCAGAGGTCGAGGTCTAGCTGCAGATCGTGATACAGTTGCACCAGATGAGGGAGTTTCACAGCTCACAACAGTATTCGATTTTCAGGCAGAGACAGGATCAGGGGCAGTAGATGCAGA